ACAAGAAACCATATTTTTCTCGTTGAAAATTTTTTTAAGTTGAAATTTTTCATTGCTAAATCCATCGAAACGCTAAACGTTGTGCTGTAACCTAGTAAATCAAAAGATTCTATGAGAAAGTTTTTAGAAAATAAAATAAAAGCTTTTTCGTTCCCATTGGCCTTTAAGTCTTACAATTCGCGATTTTTTCAAGTTTTCTGATTAACGAGCAAAGTGAGTCGTGCTCCTTTTTTTAAATCACATCTTTCTGCCGTTTAATTCTTTTGAGAGCTAAAAATTTTTAGATATTAAAAATGAAGGTTTTCCCTTTTGAGAAACTGCAATCTCCAGAAAATCCTAGTTATGCCCCGAACCAGGATAATATTCTGTATCTGTTTAGTTATTCAATATTTTTATTGTTATTAATATAAGCATTGTTTTAATTATTATTATTATTATTTTGTTCTGTACCAAATTGTCTTTGTAATTGATAAAAGGTAATTAGTGATAGCGACATATGGTATGTCCTTTCATTCCAATACTGCTGAGCATCTTTCACTCCATACAAATGACCATACTTCAATGTTCAATGCACACTTCACTGCTTGTTACCGCTTCCCTGCCAACGCGTACGAGGACCGAGTGCAGCTGCCGGCGTGGCTCGCGCAAGCTTTTAAGCTGACCAACTAAAAAACCAGTCATTATTACCACACACAAGAACGCCTGCCTTCTAATCCACTACAACATTGAGGATACTTGATTCTGAGGAGGGCGAGAGTGGCTGTTCCCATGTTCAGCCGCTCTGTTTCTTCACTACTGAAGTGAAACGTGTCGTCTTGGTTTCTGATGTGAAACGCTGTGGACTGTTGGCGTCTGAAGTAAAACGCTGTGGACTGTTGGCGTCTAAAATGAAACGTGTTGTCGTCTTGGCTTCTGATGTGAAACGCGTTGTCGTCTTGGTTTCTGATGTGAAACGTGTTGTCGTCTTGGCTTCTGAAGTGAAACGCGGTGGTGTCTTGGCTTCTGAAGTGAAACGTGTTGTCGTCTTGGTTTCTGAAATGAAACGTGTTGTCGTCTTGGTTTCTGAAGTGAAACGTGTTGTCGTCTTGGCGTCTGAAGTGAAACGTGTTGTCGTCTTGGCGCCTGAAGTGAAACGTGTTGTGGTCTTGGTTTCTGACGTGAAACGCCATGGACTCTTGGCGTCTGAAGTGAAACGCGATTGACTGTTGGCGTCTGAAGTCAAATACCGAGACGAGTTGGATTCTTGACGTTTGAAGTGAAACGTGTTGGACTAATAGACTAATAGCGACTGAAGTGAAACGTATAGGCGGCTTTGGTGTTTAGGTATCAGAACGTGATGACGCGTTTCCCTGAATCAAGTCCATTCAATGCATCTAGCTCCCTCAACCTACTTCAAAAGATGTATTTAGAGAGGGTGTGAGTTGCAAGGAAACTTTTTTAATGTCCTTGTTTAGTCAGCAACGGACTAGCGGCAAAAACTAACGTGATCGTAGTTATTTATTCCAAGTTTAAAACGGATATTCTTAAATACAGCGGACGACATTGTGAAAAAGTAACGGATGCGACATTTGCTGACGTGTTAAAAAATGTGCTAAATAATGTGTTGACGAACGTGTTAACGTGCGGCGTAAATTCATTAATTGACTGTCAGGATTCGACAACTGATTATCACTTCTTCATCTGTTTCTTTTCATCAGTACAAATAATGAATTTTTAGTTTTCTACTCGAAATCTTCGATTGGCTATGAATAATGTAGTTTTATATCCGATAATTTATCCTTCTTATTGCAGTTGCCGTCAGCACGTCATGTGACATTCAAAGGCTTCACTGTTCATGTATTAAATCTATCAAAACAAGGCCTCAAATACCCCATAAATCTGAATTTAACCCTAAAACATGTGGTTTATTAGGTATTTCAGTGTTTCGCCTAACATGTTCCCGGAAGTTTCGTCATAATTGCCCTGAAATAAGGAAGTTACTTCAGCGGAGGTGAATTTTTTCTTGTATATATAGCCGTATTCCATAGAGTATTCATATCATTAGCATGCTTAACTTACAAGTTCACCAAGAATTAAAAAAAACGTTAAAAAATTCATCATTTATTCAATGAAGATCTTTTCGTTGAAGATAAGGTGAATTTTTCATGAAAACCTGAACACTTTTCAATGAAGATATTGTGAATTTTCTTGGCGTTATCTCTGTTTTTAAATTCTTGGTATTCCTACGAACAGATGTTTCGTCTTCTGCTTTATATAGCAGGAGTCAGTGCACCTGCTGACACCAGCTACAGCTGTCACCAGCAAGAGATCAGCAGCTGTAAACAGATTGCAGCTGTTTGTTTGCCTGCACTAGAAAAATGCGTCAGGTTTTCTCCATACGTAAACTGCGTACTGAGAACCCTTACGAATATCAGAACTTCTCACGAATATTTTTATGGGTTTCAGAACTGAATAACTTTCACTAAATGTCTAACGTTAAATATGCATTGAACTGAACGTTGTTTCTTTGAATAAATGTTAACTAAACGTTATTTGAACGCCGATTGCCAGGTGACTCATTACTCGGAATATATTAAAAAAAGGTAAAATTAAAATATTTACCGATTCAAATTAGATGAAGTTTTCATTCAATAATTAGGTCGATGAAGAGATTGAATATAATATTCCCAAAATGAAGCAAATTTATTTCAATAACTTTGTGAAAGACAATATGGAAGTCATTTAGTCATATTGTGGTAGTTTAAAGAGCAAGGTTGATGAATTACTTTATTCATTATTATAAGGCGCATTAATAATTATTATTTTAGGCTCATTTTGTTTTTCGATTTCGATCTATAAAATGACGGTCTAAATCCAACCGTAAGATTAAATCCCAAGCAATTCTATTTTTCATCTTTCAGTGACATTAACAAATGGTGGCACAGATGAGTTCACGAATTGATTAAGAGTTGTTCTCTTTAAGGGCCTATCGCTCTCATCTAAACTGTCAGTCAAGGCATAGGCGTTGGTTTGGCTGGCACAGCGGGACTTACGTGAACAATTCTTGCCTCTCTTCCCATTGTCAGCCCCCGACTCGTGCCCATTAAGTGATGGGTTTTGCTCCATTAGTGATATTCTGGTGAATGTGGAGTTCAGAAATCAAAGGAATAATGGGTTAAGCTTTATTATTGGTCCTCTGAGAGAAATTAATGCTTTTATTGGTCTATTGGTCGTAAACAAAGTATTTATTTCTGATCTACGCATTCTGCTGAATGTGGATTGTGGAGTTAAGAATTCAACGTAATAATGGCTTCTGCTCTACTAGTATTAATGGTCGTGGGGTGGATGTAAAATTCAGGAATTGATGGAATAATGGATTCTGATTCATTTTAAGGAATAATGTTGAATGTAGAGTTCAGGAACTAATTGAATTCATTCTGATGAATTGATGATGAATTCCATCAAATTGATGGAATAACGGATTCTGATTTATCATTGGTCGTCTGGTGAATGTGTATCGTGGGTCATCATGAATTTGTTTTTTCTCTTTTCGTCTTATTAATAAGTGAGTCTAGAAATGCAATGTTATTTTTTTATTCAATGTGTTTACTGTTTTTTTATCATCAAACACGAGGCGCCATAAAACTTTTATAAACTCTAATATCATATAAAAACAATTGGTTACAATAAAGAATTAGCAACAGTTAAACTGTTATTTATTTTTAATCTTCGACAAAAAGGTTCCTAAAGTTCCAAAAAATCTTCATGTCTTGATTATTTTATTTTCGCTTCGTAAATTTTATGCTCTTCTGCATGGGATGTGAATAAAACGAGTTTAGAAAGAAAAACAAATAGACTTTGGAGATCAGAGCAAGTCATACAAGAATTGTCTGCAATTCACAGAGCTTGGCCAGGAAATTCATACATTGGAGAAAATTCTTCCCGTGTAGGAAATTCGCTTCTAGTTGAAAATTTTGTTCAAGTGACGATCCGTGCAAAATGAACGTTGGATTAAAATAAATTCTGAATTTTTTAATTAGACCCTCTGCATAAAAACGAAAATCATATAGAGAAATAAAATTGCATATTTAAAACACTTTAAGGCTGGTGCAAAATAATTTACGTAATTATTCCCAATGATTTATTGATTATTTCAAATGAAATTTGAAGAATTAATCGCGGTCTTCCTTTCAAAAATAATAATATTTTCGTAAATAACAATATTTTACGAAACACTCTGGTTTGATGGCAACTTTTATTTTGCTAAGCGATGAAAGATCGCGTCACACGCGAAGCCGCATTTTTTTAACGAACGAAAAATTTAATTTGAAATTGAAATATTTGGAAATATTTTAAAAATTGTATCTATTAATGCTGTAATTTTGCATAAGTTCGGTAAAGAAACATTTCCAAATTTCTGGTGAATTGGTTTTGCCAGCATTCTTCTTCTAAACAAAAAGTTATTTATCTTGGCCAATTGTGTCACTCATAATTTAACGGACAACAACTAAATATGTTCACAATTTCGGTTTAAAATAACAGTCAAAGTTTCACTCAAAATAAAGAGACAGCAGGTAGTAGCAATTTTCTAATCTACTTTAAGTTCAAAATTTGCGGTATGTAACTGAATGATTCTTACACAAAAAGGTTCCTAAAGTTCCAAAAAATCTTCATGTCTTGATTATTTTATTTTCGCTTCGTAAATTTTATGCTCTTCTGCATGGGATGTGAATAAAACGAGTTTAGAAAGAAAAACAAATAGACTTTGGAGATCAGAGCAAGTCATACAAGAATTGTCTGCAATTCACAGAGTTTGGCCAGGAAATTCATACATAGGAGAAAATTCATTCCGTGTAGGAAATTCGTTTCGAGTTGGAAATTTTGTTCAAGTGAAAATCCGTGCAAAATAAACGTTGGATTAAAATAAATTCTGCATGAAAACGCTGCATGAAAACGAAATCTTACACAGAGAAATAAAATTTCATATTTAAAACACTTTAATGCCGGCACAAAATAATTTATGTAATTATTCCCAGTGATTTATTGATTTTTTCAAATGAAATTTGAAGAATTAATCGCGGTCTACCTTTCAAAAATATACTCACAATATTTTACGAAACACTCTGGTTTGATGGCAACTTTTATTTTGCTAAGCGATGAAAGATCGCGTCACACGCGAAACCGCATTTTTTTAACGAACGAAAAATTTAATTTGAAATTGAAATATTTTGAAATATTTTAAAATTGTATCTATTAATGCTGTAACTTTGCTTAAGTTCGGTAAAAAAACATTTCTAAATTTCTGGTGTATTGATTTTGCCAGCATTCTTCACCTAAACAAAAAGTTATTTTTCAGAACTAATTGAGTCACTCGTAATATAACGGATAACAAATAAATATTTTCACAATTTCGGGTTTAAAAATAACAATCAAAATTTCACTCTAAATAAAGAGACAGCAGGTGGTAGCAGTTTTCTAATCTACTTCAAGTTAAAAATTTACGATATTTAACTGAATGATTCTTACTTTAATCACTATTATCATCAAAACATGTAATCAGTACAAGGAAGTCCCGATATCAAACCCCACTGAAATTGCAACAATTGCTCTCTGTTAATAAAATTGAATCTATGGACTTATTGTAAGATGTGAACTAGCCGAACCCCCAAAGTTTTAAGTATATAAAGGCTATACAATAGCACCAAAAGGTACAAAACAATATATTACGGAAAATATTCTTATACTATATATTCAACAATAGCTAAAACTAGCATCACAGTCAAAAGAAGTCAAAATTAACAACAAAACTTCAAACAAAAGAAATGAGCTTTTGTGGAGCTTATCTACGTGCAATAAACTAATAATAATCCACGCATGAGATTAGCTTCCACGGTGAATTTTCCAATCTAAAACCTGACAGCACGCGTCTATATTCTATTTATTTTCTCTAAATTTAAGGCTATTATTTCATAAGGCACATGGGACAGGTTATTGCAATGATAGGAAGCTCTTCAGCATCTGTATATCACACCGCTGCGTGGCAGCATTATTTATATTGCAGTAGAAATAGAGTATTAAATATCTATATGAAATAAAAAACATAATAATTCAGTCATCACGTTTTTTCTTAGCTCTGCCCTCGAATTGTATGGTCTTTGTAGTCTCTTCAACACAATCAGCCACCGTCTGTTCACTGGAATTATCAGCCAGTTTAGACAAAGTTAATATGTACGAAGAAGCTATTCTCAAGATAGATAACTTAGAGAGTTTTTGGTTATGGCTGTAGGAAGGCACGGACTGTCGTAACTTCTCATACGCCGAACTGATTGTGTGAACACGCGTGCGTTCCCTCGCATTCGCTTCGATCCGCCTTTCCCTGGTCATGTTCTTGTAATTCCGTTGCTTTTGTCTGAGTAAGTGTTGCTGCTGCTGCAGGTGATGGGCTTGGGAGTTCGTAAGTTTCACGCCGCCCGACGGTGAACAGGACGAGCTGCTAACGGCCGCTAATCTGTTCGTGGAGCCCAAAGGCTGATGACTTGCATCATCCGAAGAATACGAGGGCGTTGCCTCTGATTTTAATTTTAAATTTGGAGAGGACTGGGGCAGACTTAAGACAGCTGGAACTTTGCGCTGAGAGGTCGAAGGAGTTGTTTTTGATGGTGGCAAAGGAGCTGTTGGCGGCTTTAAAGGAGATTTTCTAACATTGATTGGCGTTTCAACTAACGAAGCTACGCTGAATAAGGGCTTGGCAGCTGAGGTTTCTCGCTTGACCAGAGATACCGGCTCGTCTTGGAGCGGCTCACGACTCCTACATTGAATCGCCTCATTGATTTGATTTCGACTAGATTCCTGCAAGGATGATCGCATGGTGGGAGTGGGTGAGGGAGAACTTGTTTTGGGCGGTGACTGCGGCGACGGTGATTGGACAGGAGGCGTTTTGGGCAGGTGGTGTAGCAGGGGAACCATGGGGTACGGCGGCAGGTGTATGCCACCCGGCAGAAGGGCCAGAGGGTTCGGCAAGACGCTGCCCAATAACCGCGTGTAGTGTTGATAAGAAGCGGACACCGAAGGCCATCCTGGGGGAAGGAGGTGAGGCGACAGACCTGGAGTGAGTGAGGGAGAGATCGTCGGCGTCCGTGCGAGGGGAGAGAGCAAGGAATGATGAATCAGCGGCGGGGCTCCGATAGACGAAGTTGATAACGACGAACGAGGAGACGGTGGATCAACACGCACCAAGGGTGGAGATGGATACGGTGTTGACAACTTAGGCTGCTTAACAGGTCTAATTTCCTCATCGCTGGACAATTTCGGAGACTTGGCCTGATAGTCCGGATTAGGTGAGTGGGGTCTCTTTTTGGACTGATCTGAATACAGTCTTCGGGGCTCGGTAGTCTTGCGTCTGCGGGAATTGGTATGCACCTCATCATGTACGCTGCCGTATCCTAGCTTCTTCGGAGCCGGGCTTTGTATTCTGTCGTACGAGGCAGCGAAGGCGAGGGCGGTAGGGTGCGCAGGGTTGGAGTTGAGCGCCTGGGTGAGGGTGTTAGAGGCCAGAGTGTTGTAGCACTTGCGGAGCTTGGGTGGAAGTCGAGACGTCGGGCAACCTTTACTCAGGCTTATCAGGAGAGGGGACAAAGCTCTCGTAGGTGAGAGGCAACCCTGTGGGGAACAGGACCTCCCTGGGGAGTAATTTTGGGGGCAGGTTGAGGGTGGGGGGCCTAGGACCCCGCCGACCCTAACCTCCACACTGTCCTCCGAAGCGTCTGTCGACGGGTGGCTGTCCTCGCTCGCGCTGTCCTCCCTGGCTTCACTGTCCTCACTGTCCATCCCCCTGCATGGACAAAATAAAAGTAGTTAGTGCATTTGTATTTGTTACAATAAATTGAACACAATATCACACAAATCTCCAGAGTCCCTTACAGTCAATAAGAGAATGATCGGCTGACACAGTACCATAACCGTCCACGATTGGCAATAGACTAAGATGAGACTACGATCGACTAAGCATGCATTTCTGACAATAAATAATAAAAATGCATTAATGGTTCCCTGTTACACTGGTATTCATGTCTGAGATTATATACTAATGGAGCATCAAAGTGTTAATGCGTTCACAGCCATTAGATCGCAGCGACAACGCTTGTAATCTGCTGCCGGAAACGATGTCCACCGTACAGCTGTTGAGCAGCTCTCAATATCCTGCCCTTATTTTATGAACCGCAGCACAGTACAGCTGTAGGAGCAGCTCTCAATATCCTGCCTTTATTTTATGAATCACAGCACAGTACAGCTGTTGGAGCAGCTCTCAATATCCTGCCTTTATTTTATGCACCAAAGCACAGTACAGCTGTTGAGCAGCTCTCAATATCCTGCCTTTATTTTATGAACCGCAGCACAGTACAGCTGTTGAGCAGCTCTCAATATCCTGCCTTTATTTTATGAACCGCAGCACAGTACAGCTGTTGGAGCAGCTCTCAATATCCTGCCTTTATTTTATGAACCACAGCACAGTACAGCTGTTGAGCAGCTCTCAATATCCTGCCTTTATTTTATGAACCGCAGCACAGTACAGCTTTTGGAGCAGCTCTCAATATCCTGCCTTTATTTTATGAACCACAGCACATTACAGCTGTTGGAGCAGCTCTCAATATCCTGCCTTTATTTTATGAACCACAGCACAGTACAGCTGTTGAGCAGCTCTCAATATCCGGTCTTCAATTTATGAACAACTGCACAAAACCATTGAAGGTCCGGAACCGGAAGTCAGGCCAGGTTTTCCGGCAAAACGTTCATTCGCTGGAACGCTAATGACGCGCGCGATCAACGTTGATTGTGCGTTCGCAGAGAACGATATTGTTTTTACCGTCGAGTGATCGGTCATTGTTGGTGTTTAAATCACGTAGCCTGCATTTCCTTCATTATATTTTAATAGACAACTAAATGGTTAAAGGAAATTGTGTTTGAAATGTTTTAACACTTAGTCATAAAAAATTATTAGAAAGGCATAAAGTATTCACAAAGTTTCTGAAGAATCGAGAAGAAATTGATATACAAATATACAAGATTAAATTCTGAAAACAATGCTATTATACCAGACGTTACACCATACATCGCGCACACCAGTAGTGACAGCCATTAAATTTTACCTTCATTAACTGGTATAAATTACAACCGAATGATCGACATTACAATTTTGATTATTTTGGGAGATAAATGCACACATTTTAAATGATATCTGAAAGCGCAATGCTCTCAGTCAGTTACAGGGACATATACAATATATATTTCAGTTGAAAAAATACCTATTTATCAACAAAAATATATATGAGGACAATAAAAGACAGTATGAGGCTTCAAGTCGGTAACTATTCAAATACCGCCTGGAACTAACAATCAATGATTTCTTACGCATGCAACACCGTTATTATTTTACTTTATCGATGATAAGATAGATAACCGTGATGTTATCTAATTTCTTGCACAAAATGGTGCAGTTATATATTATAATACATGGTGCTCTCACTAAAATAACAATAAAATCTAATAATCATAATAAATCATACGGTGCAGCAGCAGTGCACCACACCAGTGCACTACACCAGTGCACCACACCAGTGCACCACACCAGTGCACCACACCAGTGCACCACACCAGTGCACCACACCAGTGCACCACACCAGTGCACCACACCAGTGCACCACACCAGTGCACCACACCAGTGCACCACACCAGTGCACCACACCAGTGCACCACACCAGTGCACCACACCAGTGCACCACACCAGTGCACCACACCAGTGCACCACACCAGTGCACCACACCAGTGCACCACACCAGTGCACCACACCAGTGCACCACACCAGTGCACCACACCAGTGCACCACACCAGTGCACCACACCAGTGCACCACACCAGTGCACCACACCAGTGCACCACACCAGTGCACCACACCAGTGCACCACACCAGTGCACCACACCAGTGCACCACACCAGTGCACCACACCAGTGCACCACACCAGTGCACCACACCAGTGCACCACACCAGTGCACCACACCAGTGCACCACACCAGTGCACCACACCAGTGCACCACACCAGTGCACCACACCAGTGCACCACACCAGTGCACCACACCAGTGCACCACACCAGTGCACCACACCAGTGCACCACACCAGTGCACCACACCAGTGCACCACACCAGTGCACCACACCAGTGCACCACACCAGTGCACCACACCAGTGCACCACACCAGTGCACCACACCAGTGCACCACACCAGTGCACCACACCAGTGCACCACACCAGTGCACCACACCAGTGCACCACACCAGTGCACCACACCAGTGCACCACACCAGTGCACCACACCAGTGCACCACACCAGTGCACCACACCAGTGCACCACACCAGTGCACCACACCAGTGCACCACACCAGTGCACCACACCAGTGCACCACACCAGTGCACCACACCAGTGCACCACACCAGTGCACCACACCAGTGCACCACACCAGTGCACCACACCAGTGCNCTCACTTGATGCCACACGCTCACTTGATGCCACACGCTCACTTGATGCCACACGCTCACTTCATGCCACACGCTCACTTGATGCCACACGCTCACTTGATGCCACACGCTCACTTCATGCCACACGCATGGCACAGTGTGTGAGTGTTCACAAGAAATTAAAAATTACACGAGATGCTAGAGCGTATAATTTTGTTCAAGAATTAAAAACATTTATTTTTTCAATAGCTACAAGGAAGTAATAGAGAATTAGAGTAAGTTAAGTAATATAATAAGTTAAATTTCACTCTTTTGATGTTTTTTGTTTAAATTTTGTATCCAAGTTGAGATATATCAGGTCGAAATGAGTGGCAAGGAGGTTATTTCTGAAATTATATCGAATAACACCGATTTAATCAATAATTTGTGATTAATTAACGAATCACAACGAATTTGCCTAATGCTAACGTAGCAAACTCAATAAACGGAGTAAAATATTCAAATACCCTATTTAATAACAGAATCTATTGAATTATGGTGTTGCTTCATAGTCCAGAATCTGAATTTTCATTAGAAATTCCAAGACGATTTATTATCGGTCATATAATGCTGACACTGACAAAAATATATGAGTTACATCGTCCAAAGCGGATGAAGTATTCTGGCAGTGGCATTTTACCGGCCCAAAATGAGTCACTATGATCCATTTTAGGGCAAAAGTACGTCGTTATTCGGACAATTTTCCCCTTCTCTATTCAGGTCTCTGTATTCTATTTTAAATATGACTTTAATTTAGATGTGATTTCAAGCGGAAATCTGTTATCTCACGTTTATTTAACATATGTGAGGAAAATAAGTACAAATCATAAGTGCATCTCCAGCAATAAAAATAAAGTAACATGTACATGGTAATGTGAAACTCTTCACCGGAGTTTAACATAAAAAGCTGCTACCACGGTCTAAAGTCACGGTTTTATTGCACGCTATAAAACTTATTGAGTTCAGCGTATATTAAAAAAATAATAAGTCAGATTGTCCAAATTGTGGACAATCTGTGGATTGTCCATTTTATTACAAATTGTGACGCATTTTTGAAATTGTGAAAAATTTTTGTGTGTTTTGAAATTGTGAAAAATGCGTCCAAATTATGACGCATTATTATTTATTATCCCCAGCACGAAAATAGAACGGGCGTATCACTTATACCCCCCGTTGCACAGCAAAACTGGGCCAGTTTGACCTAAATAAGCATTAAAAACATATCAATATTTGGTCAAAGACTCACTCATTTATATGAGTGCAGCTGTGCGCTTGTAGATGCACGTTGCGCAGCTGCAGTAACACCTGTTGTATGTACACAGCTGTAACGTACGAACATCTGCTCCATGTTCTAGAGATGCAGATGTGACTCATTTAGGTCTTAAATTATTCATACGTTTGTATATGAATGAATATACCCAGCATGAATTAAGATCATTAAGGTATTGTATAAATAGCGCATGAATGCCCGCATGTTACACGTGTTTTAAGTTTGTTCAAACTTGAGAAGAAGTTCTTAGAATAAAGTTTAGTGTTTTAACAAATCGAAAATTAAAAAAAGATCGTGTAATATAACTTCTTATTTAATCTAAAAATTTCGACGTGATGAAAGTGTGGAAAAAGCTTACGCAATAAAGCTTCATGTATCTTCGATTTATCAGATAAGAAGAACGCGACAAAAAAAGCTCAAAAAATAAAGTTTCAGATATAATCAAACAAGAAGTTATGATGTACGCGTCGAAAAAGTTCACATCATCAAAAAATTAGATGTAATGGATGAAACTACAGCAATCTTCAATTATTGGCTACATCAACCGAGCAAATGCGATGTTCAGAATCAAAGACTCTATATAGAAAGATAAAGAGCTTTTAAAATCGGGAATTGTTAAATTATTTTGATTTATTAAGAACAAATAAATCATTATGCATCCGTTCCGAACTATTCCCGCCAATTATTCCATCGTCTCGTGTAAAATAAATCATGTGCAAACTAATTAACGCTCAGTGAAGTCCAGACTCAAGTGCAACATTAATTCAATTACTTTCTGCTTCTTTAAACTTTTTCATCGTCTTCGAACCATAGTAAATATTAACATAAAGACGCAACCATGACATTTATGTGCATTCTCTCTAATTCCAAATCTCAACTAAAAAAAATGCATTTTCACGTATCATCGAGTTTGGAACTGTTTTTTTAGAAATCGTCTGTACACTGAACACAGTATACAGACGATACACACAATTCAAGTTCCATTAACCGTGCGTAAAGTTGAGCTATATACGCA